TGGTGGCACATGGATGGCTCAGTGGTAAAGCATCCCTGGGTTCAATCACCAGTACTGGAAAAAAAATTAAATGAAAAAAAAGATACCCCTTTTCAGTTCTATCAAAATATGGATTCAAACATTGTTAAGAACAATCAATCAGGGGCTGGGGATGTGGCTCAAGCGGTAACGCACTCTCCTGGCATGCRCAGGGCACTGGGTTCGATCCCCAGCATCACATACAAATAAAAAAAAAAAAAGATGTTGTGTCCACCGAAAACTTAAAATATATATATATATATWWWAAAAAWWYTCTCTCTCTTTAAAAAAAAAAGAACAATCAATCATTCTGAAAACAAATATATCACTTCTATGAAAACCACCACTTTCTCTGCCCACAATAACAATAAAACAGTAACAATAAATCCCTAAAACAATAATTAGCCACTCTACTAGCAGCTTCTYCTCCAAAACAAACTCCTTAAAGATCAGAACACAGTTATTTATCTCTGCTTCATTTCCCTCCCCTCACCCCATGAAACTATCCAAAAGCCATCTCACAGCCATATTATTAGCTGGAAGGATCATAAACCAGCCCTTGCTAATTTAATCTTAAGAGGAAGTTATTGAAAGGATATCAGAGCCCCTGAAAGTAAAGGAAGAAGTTGAAGTTGCAAGAGTTCCTCAGCAGTCTCTTCAGATAAGGACTGCAGCTGGCAYTGAATTCACTCCATTCGAGGATCACTTGGCTCAAGTTTCCAAGTCCTAGCTAAGGTCACTTAGCTGAGCCTGGGTCACCTGTTGACCTGGTGGCTTGGAGTGTGGAGTGCCCCTGCAGTCCTACCACAGCAGCACAGACCAGGAGGGGTTTATTCGGTAGGAAGAAATTGGGGAGCTGTCAGAAAAAGAGGGAGATTAAAAACAGGGAAGGTGGTCAAAAAAGGAAAGGCAGAGCTGGGCGCAGTGCACTCCTATAATCCCAGAGGCTCGGAGGCTGAGGCAGGAGGATTTTGAGTTCAAAGCCAGCCTCAGCAAGAGCTAAGCAACTCAGTGAGACCCTGTCTCTAAGTTAAATACAAAATAGGGCTGAGGATGTGGCTCAGTGGTCAAGGGCCCTGAGTTCAATTCCCAGTACAAAAAAAAAAAAAAAAAAGGAAAGAAAATGCCCACCATAGCTCTCATCTTGATTCCTTCTCTCTGGTTTGACAGCAGGTATTGCCCCCAATGTTGGTTAATTCTAGTGTCAACTACATTGGACAAGGCTGAACGTTGCTTCTGGGTGTCTGAATAGAACAAAAAGTGGGGAAGGCGGGATTCCGCTGTTCTTTTGGTTTCCTGCCTGTCTTGTGAGTGGAAACATCAGGCTTCTCCCCACCTTGGACTGGAATTCACACCATTGATGCCCTGGTTCTCAGGCCTTTGGACTCAGACTAGAATCACATCGTTGGCTCTCCTGGGTCTCCGGTTTGCAGACAGCAGATCCTGTGCCAAATTCTCATAATATTATCTTCCCGTAGCACACTACTGGTTCTATTTCTCTGGAGAACTCTATTTATACCACTCCCTTCTTAGGGAAAGTGTCTCTTCCCACTCAATCCTACTTTCCTTCCCATCTCAACAATTCCTTTTCTCCTTCTCCCCCCACCCCATTCTGTTCTTGGCTTTTCTTTCTTCTCATTTCATAAAACTTTCCACCTACTCCTCACTTCAAGTTCCACCTGTAGCTTGACCTTATCTTTACAGATACACTGTGTTCAAAGCTGGGAGCCTTGGATATCCCCATACAGCCCCTTCTGCCATCTTGCTCATCCTCCTTCCTTGTTTCCATGAATAGCAGCACAATCCACGCCTTCAGTCATCCAAGCCACAAACTGTGTGCTTCTYTCTCACTCAAATCCATTCAATCACTAAGCTCCGCATGTTGGGTTTCCTTTATGTCATGCAAGTGCTTGCTCTTCTTTACGTCCCCCTTGCTATTGCCTTCATTCAGCGGGTTCTCTTTATTTTATTCAGATGATAATTTCCCAGGTGGAGTCCATGTCTTCCTGTTTACACCATGCAAACCATTTTKCACACTATTACTAGACAGAGATGTCTTTAAAAAGAAATATGACTACTGCCAAAAGCCAAGTGCCAATGTCTCGGCTTGGCACAGAATCACGAGCCACCACAACTTTGTAGGTTCAAACAGCAATTCTTTATTCCCGATCTCACACCAGCCTCCACACAC